AAGACCAAAAATTAGAATCAGAAATGGCTTCAGAAACTCTTAGCTCTCTTGTCCAAAGATACCCAGACTCTTCTTAGTGATCATGTGGTCTACTTGCTTGAAGCCACATCAGTTATTCCCTTATGAATTGGTAGCTGGGAGACACACACCTGTGGAGTTTTCCCTTCCAATACTACAGTGTTTCCTGTTGCCTTCAGCCATGGAAAAGTACTGCAAAGAACTTATGTAGAATATCCAGACTTAACACCAACAAGTTTAGGTCATTTTCCTATAAAATCTTCCCATATAGTCTCTTCATAATCTTCAATTTGGAAAGTTCACACATGACAGAAATGTCAGAGGAAAAACTGCTTTCAAATCTTGTTGGTAAGACCTTTAAACACCTTCTGATGGATTTGATCCAGCTTCCATTCCATGGTATTAGAATATGTTTTAGTTAATGTTCCTTACTAATACTGTGTTTTTTTTTTTTTTTTAATCACCCTAGTCTCTTGTCATGAGTTGCCAAGGCTATGGAAGCCTTTTGAGTTCACCGATTCTGATCATATTTAGACAAGGTCATAGTCAAAGTGGAAGTTCTCTCCTCCCTTCAGATAAAGGTACCTCCTTCTTTGATGACCTGTTCTTTCCACTGGGATCTCACATGTGGAGATCTTTCATTTAGGTCATTTTTTTTTTTTTTTGACAGAGTGTCTTGGCTTTCCATGCCTGAAATACTCTCATGGGCTTTTCAGCCAGATACGAATGCCTTAAGGGCTGATTCTGAGGCCAGAGTGCTGTTACTGATACTGTTAACAAAGTATAACAGTGAAAATCCAAGAACTCAGTCTTTAGGTTCATAGCTCACAGCTAAGAAATCATCAGAATTCTACACAATTTTAAGGTGATTCCATTAGGGGACTCCAAACCAAGAATTCTCAAAGGTGCCCTGGAAGCAGTTTATCCTAAGAAATAACTTACCTAAGGCCTTCAGAACAAATTAATGGATTCAGGTAGTGAATAGCTTCTACCAAACACAAACAAAGACCCCTCTAAAAATCCTGGGTTTTCCTTGTTTGTTTGTTTATAATCATACTTCTATTGTCAGCTGTTTCCAATGATAAAAGCCTTGATTTCCCTTTCTTCACCCCCCCCCCCATTAAAATTGTGAAGTCAGGCATACACATTCTAACACCATTTTTAGATTATCACTTACAGTAGCCACTGCCTACAAATTTACAGATTACCTGTTGAATCACCCATAACCAGGCCCTCCCTTAAGACAAAATTGCCTCTGGACAATGCTGGTCTCATCTAACAGGGCTATAAGGATCAGAGTTGATGGTGTTTCCATTTGTACCTCCTTGGAAAAATGACCTTAAACAAATCAGCCAAGAACCAGAAAAAGAGCCAATTATTACACTCTATTCCTTTGACCCCAGGTAATTCTAAATTTGAATTCAACAGCCCCCATAGGACAATGAGCAAATTACTGGCATTTGGAAAATACTAATAGAGATTCACACAGATAGCCTGTTGGTATAGGGCTTTGGTCTACCCTCATATGATGAATATCTTATTTTTCTGTGAATTTCTGTGTGCCTCTACCAGACTACTTCCTTCACACTCTACTTGGGATAATAATTGATTAATTATTTATGCAAACACTCTATTGGTGAGAAAAAAAGACCACAAGAAACTTATCAACTGGCTATTAATGATAAAATTTTTGCCCTAGATGGAATACAGATCAGCCTCAACCTGTTAGCAAACGTCATGGATAATCACATTGCTATAAATTTCTTGTCAATTAATCACCAGTGCTATTTGTTTCATGGATAATACTGTTTGACGTGCTTGGTTCAATGGAATAGGCAAGGGACAATGACTCTACATCACCTTAAGGAAAAAGCTATTCAACTCTAAAGTTGATCCTCATAGTCTATGGAATTTGTTCTCCTGACCTGAGTTGGGAAATTTAAGTCTACAGGTTCCAAAGCATCCTGCAGGGAATGTTACTCAGTGGTATTTCTGTCACAGTGGTCATATTGCTTATCTATTGCTTTTTACCGATAACTCTTAAAACTTTTCTGCACAGCTACCCTCTGTAGTTGTTTACCACAATATCACAACAAATGGTCCAAGAAGACCTCACAGTAAGTTGACTCAGAAGACTGATGGACAATTCCTGAACAGTAAAGATCTAGATAACTAGCCTACTCTGAGTTGGTCAGCTTCTCACAGCAAGATAACTTCCAAAAGGGGGAATAATACTTTAATATACAACTTGATATTTGAATAGAAAAGTGGACAATTGACCTGACCATATACAACAATAGTACTCTGACCACAATCTCTCTAGCTACGAACTCAGGATGCCAGACCACAGCCTCTGAAGCAATCATCCCAGAATACTCAGGACTTGTGTAGTAACTGACAGTCCTCTGAGTTTTTGCCTTTCATTCTGTCTCAGGACCGAGCCCTTCTAGTTAGCTCACTTCCAGCTTCACCACACCAGCAGCCTCCATTGAGAGAATCCAGAAGCCTTCTCCTTTTCCCGCTATCAAGCCTGCCCACTCTCCTGTCCAATGCAGAATATATTCCATGGGCTGTGTGTTATCTGACACATTGAATAAGTTCAGGACCTCTGAGAAGCTGGTGCCTAGAAGATATTATACACTTAAGAGATGTATTCAGGGAAATATCTGTGCTGGATAAGACTGAGTGAGGTCTCAGACACTGGTACTCGACTTGCCTCTGTGAAAGAAGGAAGAGAGGAACTTAGGAAGGTCAGAATGTGGTGCAGTTCTATCTGCAGTCAAGAGGAGTCCTTAAGTCGTAAAGAAATGGGTTTCCCTTAGTTTCTAGTCGTTCACTGCCATGGCTCAGGAGCAGCCCATCTCTGGAATGTGTGGCCTTAGAGTAAATGCTTTTTTATTTCAGAGTTCAAATGGGCCGATTATGCTCCATAAGGTAGGAGACCCAAACGCCTGTGTTATTGGCTGGATTGTGCCCTCTAGAATTCCTATGTTAAATCCTAACCCCTAGTATTTCAAAAAGTGACCATAACTGGAGGTAAGTTCTTTAAAAAGAGAAACAGGTTAGGATGAGGCCATTAGAATGGCATCCTATACAACATCACTATTGTCTTTATAAGAATAAGAGAGGCCAGCATTGTAGTACAGCAGGTTAAACTGCTGCCTGCAATGTTGGCATTCCATACAGGTACAAATTCATGTTCCAGCAGCTCCACCTCTGATCCAGCTCTCTGCTAATACACCTGAGAAAGCAGCTGAAGATGGCCCAAGTGCTTTAGCCCATGCAGCTATGAAGGAGAATCAGATGAAGCTCTTGGCTCCTGGCTTCAGTATGGCCCACCTCGGCTGTTGCAGCCATCTGGGGAATGAATGAGTGGATGGAAGATTCTCATTCTCTCTCTCTCATAAATGAATGGATCTTTTTTAGAAAAATAACTTTTTAGCAATGTGAAAGCCTGCTATTCAAAATCAAATTATTTGAATGAGGAATGCAGTTGAGTTTATTCCCACACTAATGCATGTGCTCATGAAGACTTATTTATTGGTTACATTTACTACAGTGTGTGATGCTCAAGAAGTCTTTATTTTTCTTCAGTTCCTCACAGTATTACTTTATACAAGTCACCTTAATTTCCTTTGTTTCAACAACGTTTCCACTGTTAGGAGACTTAACTGCCAGTGATTTAACTTCTATGCACTTTTCCAGTGTTTATTCTAATCATGCACCTTGGGCAATTATACCATGGTATAGCAGAAAAGACACCACACTAGAACACAGGGCATCAGAGTCCTCTGGTTAACTGCCTGTGAGCCTCGGAGAAAATATCTTCCTTCTCTAAGCCTTCACGTTTTTATTTTCTTCATCTGTAAAATGAAGAATTTGAGATTAATTGGCCAAAAGAGAACACAGGAAATAAGCCGAAGGCAAGACAGGCACTATTGCTACCCACACTGTCAGCACATTTTTTTATAAGCTTCATATCAATATTTTATATGATAAACTACAAAAAGTTTGTGAAAAATGAAATGAAAAGATAAATCTGTTTGGGTGCAAGAAGTTTGAAATTGGTGCATAGTTTTTTTTCATGGTACATATTTACCATAAACCTTTTCAATTCCCCAGGTATCATTCTCATTGCTACACTCCTAACTATGCTTTAGTAGCTTGCACAGCCTTCTTGGCTTAAGCAGGCATGTAACAAAGAAGTGCCAACTCTGGATTTCAGAGGCCTACGGCTTCTATCAAAACAGGAGTCTCTTGCAAAGGAAAACTGATTCTCAGACATATGTTGCCTAATTAGATACTGAAGTTAAGCTGATGCCAGAAACATTTCTGACAAATAAATCCAGCATAATAATGTTTAATACAATTGTCTTCCTACTAAGAAGTTAACCTTAAATACAGGCTTATAACATAATTGCCATGTTGCTTTTCAAATTTAATTTATAAAAATAAGTTTGTGGCTTCATATTATCCAGGAGGGATTATGTAAGTATAATTTTTTTACTATTTATTGTTCACTGGTTTTAACTATTATAAAAATCTCTTTTGAAAGTTGCTGTGCCACTTGGTACTCATTTTCAGTCACTGTGACTATTTTATCCATGTATATTGGAACCATAAAAGCTGAAATTAATTTCATGTGAAAAAAATCCATTTAAAACTGTCATAGTTATACAAACCTTTGTTTAGTATCCATGTTCGTAACAAAAGCCTCTGTCAAATGATTCCTTTGCTTTAGTAATCACATTTGCTGTGGAATTGAGAATAAAAGTACAATACTAACTCATTTACAATTTGTTTCAAGTGTTCATTTGATCATGTTGCTTTTTGTGGTAATTACACTAATAAAAACAATACTGAAATTTCAAGCTTCTTATTGTGCTGATTGGATTTTTTCAACTCAGCGCAAAGCATATTTAAAACAGTCTTTAAAATTTTGACTTCACACAATTTTTGTAAATTATCAAATGTGATCTTACCTAATTTTCATTTTGGGTCCATGGGGTTGGTGCTGCACTGTAATGAGAAAAGCCACCGCCTGCAGCACCGGCATCCTGTGTGGGCACTGGTTCAAGTCTTGGTTGTTCCACATCTGATCCAGCTCCCTGTTAATGTGTCTGGGAAAGCAGTGGAATCTGGCTCAAGTCCTTGGATCCTTTCTCCCATGTGGGAGACACAGTTGAATTTCCTGGCTCCTAGCTTTGACCCAGCCCAGCCATCTGGGAAGTGAACCAGTGGATGGAAGATCTTTGTCTCTCCCTCTCTCTCTCTCTCTCTCTCTGCCTGTGCATCACCCTCTCTGTAACTCGATCAGCTCTTGTCCTGACGGTTGATGTACAATGTAATATTTTATTCATTTTAGTATTGTTTTTTGTTCTAGTACCATTGGTTGAACTCTGTAATTAACACACAATTATTCTTAGTTGTTTAAATTGTAACTGAAAAAGTGATCCCTGTTAGGAATTTGGAAAGCATTATGTAACTCTCAACTTTCAAACAAATAAATAAATAAATCTTTTTTTAAAAAAAAAGACCAAGTCCCATCAGGGAGTGAACCAGCGGAAGGAAGACATTTCTCTCTGTCTCTCTCACTGTCCACTCTGCCTGTCAAAAAAAAAATATATATATAAATATATATAAATGTGTACACACACACACATTTTAGAATTCAACTAGATTTTACTTGATACAATACAATATGGCCGATGGGGCTGGCACTGTGGCGCAGCAGGTTAAAGCCCTGGCCTGAGGCGCCAGCATCCCATATGGTTGCTGGTTCAAGTTCCGGCTGCTCCTCTTCCAATCCAGCTCTCTGCTGTGGCCTGGGATAGCAGCGGAGGATGGTGCTAGTCCTTGGGCCACTGCATCCATGTGGGAGGCCTGGAGGAGGCTCCTGGCTCCTAGCTTCGGATCGGCGCAGCTCCGGTCATTGTGGCCAACTGGGGAGTGAACCAGTGGATGGAGGACCTCTCTCTCTGTCTCTACCTCTCTCTATAATTATGTCTTTCAAATAAATAAAATAAATCTTTAAAAAAATACAATAAGTTTGCATATGAACTGATATAGAAATATTTTATAAAGATTTATTTATTTAAAAGGCAGTGTGGCAGACAGAGAGACAGTCAGAGACAGAGACAGACAGGGCAATCTTTCAACTGTTGGTTCAATCCCCAAAAGCCCACAAAAGCCAGAGCTGGGCCAGGCCAAAACCGGAAGACAAGAACTTCATCTGAATCTCCCACGTGGATGGCAGGAACCCAAGTACTTTAGCCATCATCTGTTCCCTCCCGGGCTCATCAGCAGGAAGGTGGTTCAGGAGCAGAGGTGGGACTCCATCCCAGGCACTGCTATATGGAATGCTGGTGTTCCAAGCAGAGGTTTAACCCGTTGCATCTGCCCCTCCTGCCAAATATCTGGACTACAACCTCAAAGCAATCTTGAATAAAAAACACCTAGCTAAGTGGTTGCTGGAATCTTGATACCTAGAAGGTATGAACTAGTAGTGCAGTGGCACTGTAGTGTGGTAGTTCGTGAAGCTGTAGCCTGTGACACCAGCATCCCATATGGGTACCTGTTCCTGTCCCAGCTGCTCCACTTCTGATGCAGCTCCCTGCTGGTGTGCCTGAGAGAGCAGTGGAGACTGGCCCACGTGCTTGGGCCCCTGCCACCCACGTGGGACACCCAGATGAAGCTCTTAGTGGCTGGAAGATTTCTCTTTCTCTCTCTCTCTCTGGAATTCTGATTTTCAAATAAATCAATCATTTTTTTAAAAGAAGGTATGAACGAATAAATGTTAGTTGTTTTAACACGAGTCTTGGTAGTAATTTGGTATGCAGCCATGCAGAACGAATATAGCCCTTGTGCCAGTTGTGTTGTACTACTTTTACAGTCCAAAGCAGGCTATTTCAGTATTCCTGCCAAGTGCAGAAGCGTAATAAAATATTCACCTGTAATTTTCTTTTGCATCTTCCCAAGCAAGTTGTCTAAATTCCTCGTACATTTTTTTATTGAAGTGATCTCTGAGAAAAAAGGACCAGAAACGAAAGAGGGTATTCATTTCTTGGGACTGACCAATTCCCAAGCATTTTCTCTCTGGAAGAAATTAAAATAATAAAATACCTCTTTACTAAATAAAATTTTTAAAGTCAAAACAGACATTTTACATAACTTACAATGAAGGGAACTAAAATACATTAATCTTCAAAATATATTTGGGTTTCTTCTAAATAAAAGGTAAATATTTCCTGATGTATAGTTCAAATCATAAATATTTGTCAATGATAATAAGAATATACCAGATTTTAATTTCTAACTTGTCTAAAGCTATGAAATACATGAATAAAGAATATGAATAAACACACACACACAAAAAAAGACCAAGTCCAAATATGTAAATATAAAATATCTTTCAGAATTCCACAAAGTCCTGACAATCTTGAAACTTTTGTGGAAATGATGTTGAAACCAATAGTCATTACATTCAGTGAATAGTTCTTCATGATGGCAATGGTGATATTGATAATTTTTGAAACAATGAAAATGACTCCTAGTATCAAGTCCTACTCACAACACATTTCAAAACCCACTGTCATTGAATCATCATAGAACAAATTCCGAGTTAGACACCCTTGTGACAACTGAGGTGTGGCAAGTGTGTCAGTCCTGTGATCCCGCAGCTGGTTTGTGTAAGAGTGGACCCTGCATTTCAGCCTAGGTAATTTTACAGGTAATGTTAATATTTGTTATGTTTATTGTGAAATATTTTTCTGTGTAATTCAACTTGAGCATCACAAAGATCACATTAATTAGGTAAGGTAGTGTTAAAATTAAGATGGTTAGATTCAGTTTGAATAAATTTATCACTAACAGATAGTAAGAGGCTCATATAGAATTAGAATATCTGTCATCTGTTTGTACATTAGGTTAGTTTAGCTCATTATTAGTTATTCTGATGCAATGGGATTAGGAAAACTAGAATCTGATTCTTACCACCTTGGTGCCTTCATCTCTCTCAAACTCCTGCTTTAAAAAAAACATTGAAATGAGCATTTTCTAAAGTTACTTCTAACTTCTAAAATGGCTAAGATATCTTTTAAAATAGAACCAAAGACATAGGTTGGTTTCTGTTTATGCTATACCCAACAAGGAAAGTAATTTTTCTTTTAACTTCACACTGATAGCATATATAACTTGATGTCAATAGCACATGTCAGGGGCTGGAGCTGTGGTGTTGCAGGTAAAGCTGCCACCTGCAGTGCCGGCATCCCATATGGGCACCAGTTCGAGTCCCGGCTGCCCCACTTCCAATGCAGCTCTCTGCTATGACCTGGGAAAGCAGTAGAAGATGGTCCAAGTCCTTGGGCCCCTGCACCCATGTGGGAGACCCAGAAAAAGCTCCTGGCTCCTGGCTTTGGATGGGCGCAGCTCCGGCCATTGCGGCCAATTGAGGAGGGAACCAGCGGATGGAAGATCTCTCTCTCTCTCTCTCTCTCTCTCTCTCTCTGCCTCTCTTTCTCTCTCTGTGTAACTCTGACTTTCAAATAAATAAATCTTTTTTTAAAAAAAGCACGTATCATTTTTGAGACACAAAATACAAATACATGGTAATTGGAATAAGAAATTCCTACAAACCCATTACATTGAATTTAGCTTTCAACATACACATCTCCTGGTACAGGAACAGAATTTTTTTAATTATAAAAATTACTCAATTGATCTCCTATTGTCCCAAAGAATCATTGACCATAGTGAGATAATATGTAATGGGACAACTTTGAAATACTGGCTTGTAAATCTCTAATTGTCATAGTGGATATAAAGGCATTTCCAAATTTGTAAAAAAAAAAAAAAGGCAAAATAAAAACTTTCTTAATGTACCTCTTTGCCTTCTGCTTCTCAGGGACCATATATAGAATCCCCACTGCCTCTCATGTAGAAGGTAGAGTTACCCTTAGGGAAGTAGCTCAAGCACAGACCAAGGCTGCATATGGGAGAGTCTGGACCTGTCTTTTGTTCGTGTTCCCAACAAGGAATTTGCCCAAGGAATGCACACATACAAAAGGGAAGGGGAAACTGAAGAATATCATTGGTATCTCGGGCACAGATCCAATACTAGTTTAATAGAAGCCCACTGAAGTGCATTATTTCAATTCTGGTATTTTCTATTTTGTTAAATAGCTTGATTTAGATATAATTTACAAGCCATAAGATTTACGCATCTCAAGAGTACAGTTCAGTGGTTTTCGTAGCAGTGATCAACCACAAAGTAATCCTAGAATATTCACATAATTCTAACCCCCCATACACACAAAAGCTAAATATTAGCATTCCTACCCATTCCCCTCCCCCATATCCAATTCCCAGTCTACTCACTTTATAGATTTGCCTGTTCTCCCCATTGCACATACATAGACTGATACAATATGTTGTCTTTTGTATCAGGCTTCATTTGCATCACATAATGGCTTCATTTTCATTGGTCTTGTAGCATGTATTACTACTGCATTCATTTTTCTAGGTGAATAATAGACTATAGGATAATAATAGACTATTATAATAATAGACTATAAGATAGTCTCCTTTTTTTAGCCATTCATCAGTTGATAGATATTTACTTTGTTTTCATTTTTTAGTTGTTAATGATATCTATGTATTCCTGTGGCTTTTGTGTGCTCAGACACATGGTGATGTCAAAAGTGTCAAAGGTGATGTCAAAGGTGATGCATTTTTATGTTAAGAGATGAAAAAAACAGAATAGAAATTATATCTGAATATAGTTTTAAATTCTAACAACAAATGTGTTTATTTCTACACACATAACAGGCATACAGACACACAGTGTTTAAAGTGTGTGATATTTAAAATTACATCAAATTGAAATCACAATTCATAATTTTACTGTCAAATAAATAGTACCCAACTCTTTATTCCATTTATGGCTTATCCAAATGCAAACAACAATTTTTTGACATTGAAGTTTTCATAATTCTCTTACCTGTGCATTGGTTATGAATCAAAAATCTCGCCACTCATAGCCAGCTCACAATCCATTCCCACTCACATGGTTCAGTGGGCTGAGTGTGAACAGCCTGCCGATTGACTGTGGGGAATGAACTAGAATAATATTAGTCTCCAATAGTGGCAGAGCATGCTTGGTGCAGCAAAGCTTGAGGCAGGGAGAACAACCCTCAGCAGAGCTTCTCCATCGTTGGTTGCCAATGCCCCTTGGAGGATATTATCTGCTGAGGACAGGGCGTGCTTGGCCAGTAGAAGAAAGTTAGATCCCAGATGAGGGCTTAGGAAAGAGAATTAATACCACTGATAAATTCACTGCCTGGGAAAGCAGATCTATAAATAAATTACATGCCAAAGTCATTCATCATGAATTTCTAGCCACTATAAGCAGAGATGTCTTAAAAAGATTTATTTATTTGTTTGTTTGAAAGGCAGAGGGAGATGGAAAGAGAGAGAGATTGAGATTGAGATTGAGACTGAAACTGAGAGAGAGAATCTTCCATCTATTTGCTCACTTCCCAAATGTCCACAACAGTCAGGGCTGGGTCAGGCTGAAGCCAGGAGACAGGAAATTCATCAATTCTGCCCCCCTTGGTGCAAGGGCCCAAGCACTTACGCCATCTTCCACTGTTTCCCAGGTGCATAGCAGGGAGCTGGATTGCAAGTGGAGCAGTTAGGACTCAAACCAGATGCTGGTACTGCAGGCAGCAGCTTTACTCACTATGCCACAGTGCCGGCCCCAAGCCTTTTTTATTGTTCACTCTCCAAATGGCTGCAATGGCTGCAATGGCTGCAGCTGGGTCATTCCAAAGCCAAGAGCCAGGAGCTTCTTCCTGGTCTCCATCATGGGTATAGGGGTCCAAGTACTTGGGTTCACTTTTTTTTTTAAGATTTATTTTATTTATTTGAAAGTCAGAGTTACACACAGAGAGAAGGAGAGGGAGAGAGAGAGACAGAGAGAGAGAGAGAGAGAGAGAGGGAGAGAGAGAGAGAAAGAGAGAGAGATCTTCCATCTGCTGATTCACTCCCCAGTTGGCCGCATTGGCTGGAGCTGTGCCGATCCGAAGCCAGGAGCTGGGAGCCTCCTCTGGGTCTCCCACGTGGGTGCAGGGGTCCAAGGACTTGGGCCATCTTCTACTGCTTTTCCAGATCATAGCAGAGAGCTGGATCAGAAGTGGAGCAGCCAGAACTCGAACCGGTGCCTGTGTGGGTTGCTGGCACTGCAGGCGGCGGCTTTACCCGCTATGCCACAATGCTGGCCCCAGAAGAAAAGTTTATTTTGGTGCTCAAAATAATTTGCAGACCATACCTTGTATTTTCATATGATGCCTTTTCCATGAACTTTTTGAAGCCCTATTTGTATACTGTGGCTCTACACAAGAAAGTTTCACTAAGAAAATTTGGACCCCACCTCTAGTCCTTCAGAATTGAATAGTTTGTAAGAAGAAAATAATAGTAATTAAAGGCTATCCAAAAAGTCAGTCCTCAAAATCATTATGTGTGTACAGTAACAATCTACAAAACAATGCTCATTATTTTTTCAGCCTTAGAGTCTCAGATTCAGAATATTCCCCCAAATAAAACCATTCCCAAATACCACAGGACTGTGTTGTTTGGTTTTAGGACTTGTATCTGATCTCATTTAACGTGTGCCCTACTTTCTTAGTTCATTCTTCTGATCAAGTTCAAACCTAATAGGCAGTGTGAGTTGCCCTCCCAGTATCTACCATCTCCTCGTCCTTTCTTTCAGGACCTCGGTTTTCTAAGTCTCATGTCCCCAGCTATAAAGTGATACTTTTCAGACTCCCTTGCTGCCACAAGGAATCTGTCAGGGGCACAAACAGGAGAGCCTTTTACCTTTGCAGAGGTGGGGCTCCCATCTACATCTCCCCTCTTCCTCCTACAGTGTGAAATACAGATGAGATATTCATTATCACCACACAGTAAATGAAGATGAGTGCCAAGCTTCACACAATGAACCTATCTCACTATGCTATCTCCCAAAATTATTATCTCATCTTCAGAAATTGGTCTTCTTAATGTCTCCCACTCATTCCAATGTCACTCTCAAAGTTGTATAGAGTATGTGCTCTGAAATCAATTTACTCATTAAAATAAAACCCTTGAAGGTCTCATTTTATTGCCCAGAAATAAGCAACATCTTGCCTCTTCATTTGTTGTGAGAATTAAGAGTGTGAATACATTTACAGTAAACATAGGGCACTATGCCTGGCACACAGTAAGCAATTAGCAAATGATGGCTAGCATGAGTAATGCATTAAAATGCCCCTTCATTTACACTGTTGTAGCCATATTGCTTTACCAAAGCACACTCATTATCTGGTTGTGCCAATCCCACTCATCAAGACACAGAAGAGACCACAACTCCTTGAGAGAGGACACATTCAAAGATCCCCTGCTTATGTGAGGTTTCTCCCTAGGGAAATTTCTGACATGTAGGATATTTATATATAACACAAGGAGAGCTGTGTTTTCCCTAGGGAAGAAGTTTTTATTAAAGTTAGGGTTTAATAAAGTGGCATTGATTAAGAGGAGAAGGTGTTGGAGAAAGGAGAGCCATACAAAAGGGGGAGCCATGGACAGGGAAATATAAAAGTTTCCATGGAGATCATTCTTAGGTCACTGGACCAAATCCTAGATTTACAAAAATGGGGCAAGATTCCAAGAAGTTAGGTAAACAGCCAAGTGCTTGGAGGCAGAGAACTGAGAAGAGGTACCAGAGCTTCTTCAGAGCTGTGTAGTCAGAACTACAGTGGAGTAACTTGAGTGACAGATGGAAGAGTGATTGGAGATATCAGAACCAACCTCTAGTGACGGACTGTGCACTGAAAGATGTTCTCCCAAGATACGTGTGTTGAGACCCCCACCTCCCCAAATGACTGTATTTGGAAACAGAGATTTTAGGGGGTAACTAAGTTTAAATGAGGCCAAAGAGGGTGAGGCTTTAATCTTTTTTAGGCCTTGTGAGCTTGTAAGAAAGGAAGAAACCCAAGGATGCATGTTCACAGCAAGAAAGGCCACAGGAGGACCCAGCAAGAAACAGCCATCTGCTCAGCAGGGAGAGAGACTGCAGGAGAAACCAAACCTCCTGCAGCCTGGATCTGGGACTTCTGTCTCCAGGGACTGCCAGACAACAAACCTCTGTTGTTTAAGTCACTCAGTTTGTGGCAACTTACTATGGTAGTCCCAACAAACTAATAAAAAGAGTAAAGATGACAACACTGCAGAATCGAGGACTGTAACTTAAAGACCGAAGCATCTTTTAAGAAAGTTTAAACCTGGCTTCATAGATCAGTGTATTCCCTTGGTATTTCGATTGTTTGCCAACATAAAAGTCAACATTCCTTGGGAAAATAGTATGATCCGATGCATCTTCCAGGTATTATACAAAATTTGAAAAATATGATAGAAACGTTAGGTGTGAAAAAAGAAGGAAAAATAACCAAAGAAAAGGACAAGGATATTAGACATCAAAAAGAAACTGTTGAAAATCAAATATTAAAAAAGGAAAAAGATTTGAAAGCAACTAGAAAAAAAATAACATGCCACACATAGGAAGGCCCAATTGTTAAATGTATTGATTCCTCAGAAGTAATTATGAAGATCAAAAAATGATGGAACACAGTTTTTAAATGCAGGAGAAAATATTATCAACCCAGAATTCTAAGTGTAGTAAAAATATTCTAAATGTAGTAAAAATATCCTTTAAAAGGACATTTTTTTTTTTTTTGACAGGCAGAGTGGACAATGAGAGCGAGAGAGAGAAAGGTCTTCCTTTTCCGTTGGTTCACCCTCCCAATGGCCGCTGCAGCCGGTGCACCGCACTGATCTGAAGCCAGGAACCAGGTACTTCTCCAGGTCTCCCATGCGGGTGCAGAGCCCAAGGACTTGGGCCATCTTCCACTGCACTCCTGGGCCACAGCAGAGAGCTGGACAGGAAGAGGGGCAACCGGGACAGAATCCGGTGCCCCGACCGGGACTAGAACCCGGGGTGCCGGTGCTACAGGCGGAGGATTAGCCTATTGAGCCACAGCGCCTGCCAAAAAGGACATCCTTAAGTGAAGGAAAAGAAGCTGACTTTATTGATGGCAGTCTTGCTGCAGCAGAAGTGCAAAGGATGTTCCTCAGGTTGAGGGGAAATTAGAGTAGAGGAAAACTTGGAACTTGATGAAGAAAGAGCAACAGAAAGTAAATATCTGGATCACTATAACACAATTTTTTCTTCTTAAGTTTGATGATATAATTTTGAATGTCGCAACTAAAAATTTTTAACATTTTCTGGCATGTCTTTTGATGCTCCTAGATATAATATATTTAACAACTACAAAACACGTTTCAATTGGTGGCAGGGTAAAGGAACTTATATGGTTGCAAGGGTACAATATCTTTTTATTATTTTTTTTTTTTTATTTTTGACAGGCAGAGTGGACAGTGAGAGAGAGAGACAGAGAGAGAAAGGTCTTCCTTTGCCGTTGGTTCACCCTCCAATGGCCGCCGCTGCAGCCAGCGCACCGCACTGATCCGATGGCAGGAGCCAGGATCCAGGTGCTTTTCCTGGTCTCCCATGGGGTGCAGGGCCCAAGCACCTGGGCCATCCTCCACTGCACTCCCTGGCCACAGCAGAGAGCTGGCCTGGAAGAGGGGCACCCGGGACAGAATCCGGCGCCCCGACCGGGACTAGAACCCGGTGTGCCGGTGCCGCAAGGTGGAGGATTAGCCTATTGAGCCACGGCGCCGGCTAGGGTACAATATCTTAAAAAGAAGGATACATACAAAAGCAGGCATATTGAATGGAAAGAATGCAAAAAATATTCTCTGCACAAAAGTAAACAGATGACTACTGGGCTGTTTATACTAACGTAGACAAAATAGACATGCAACTGTTGCTCTCCATCATGAACAGTCAAACAGATTGTGCTTATTTAACTCTATTCACTCTAACTAAAGGTAACATCTGTTCTACTTCCCAGTGAAAATTTAACAATAGGTAATTCAAATGTATTTTACTTAGAAACTCATATTACTTGTGTTTCCTGATAAAACTTCCTCTGAACTTTGATTTCTTCTATTTGTTAACAAATATTTTAGCCTGGCTTTTAAATCTCAAGTCCAAATGTCTAGTATACTGAAAACGAGTTCCTTCATGCGTATTTGTTTCTACTATGCTCATTTATGCATTTATTGATTAGGTTCTCTACTACTCTATCCAATTTAGCAACAGTGTTGATTTTCTAGAGCTGCCATAACAAAATAGCACAGACTTGACCCAATGGCTAAACAATGCAAATTTTTGTCTCATGATGCTAAAAGGTAGAAGTCCAGGATGTTAGTGGTGAAAGGGCTGATTTCTCCTAGGTCTCTCTCCTTGGCTTACAGATGGTCATCTGCTGCTTATCCTCACACTCTCTTGCTTCCATGTGCCTGTGCCCCTTTGTGTGTCCAATTTTCCTCTTCCTCCAAAGAAAGCAGTCACATTGTTTAGGAACACAAGGTGATGACTTCCTTTTGGTTTCATTTTTCCTTTGAAGACTCTATCTCCAAAAACAGACACATTCTGAGTCACTGGGTTGTTAGGGCTCTAATCTATAAATATGAAGAAACAAAATTCAATTGATAGATCCACCATGCATTGATTGCTTTTAATGCTATTTGATCAATTAATTCTCCTTCAGTCACCATACAGTTTCATTCCACTGGCATACTACTGCATTATTTATTTATTTGCACATCAACTCTTACTAAATGCCTACTCAGTGGTAGGCAGTGTGCTAGCTATTGAAGATCTACGAGCATTCTTTGCGGAACTGACTGAAATTATAGGGGAGGAAAAAGACAGTAAATGCAGAATCCTCCTTTTCCATTTTAAAGCTTTAGGTTCTAAATGGTAAGATCAGTGAGGAAAATAAAGAAGCGGTGCTAGATATACAAAGATTGATATCTTTATGGAATGTTCAGTTAGATATTTCTCAAATGAGGTGATATTTGAATACACAAAGACAGAAAGCTATACTGAATATCTGGGATGCATGTATTCTAGGCAAATGACATAGCAACAGCAGAAATCCTAAGTGAGAACATTCTTAGCAAATTCAAAGAATGGAAGAAATCCAGCCGGCAGTCAGGGGCCAGATAATACAGTGCATGTGGGTCACAGAAAGGCCTTTGCACTGGAAGTTTGATGGGCAGCCACTGGGGAGTTTTGACTAGGCCTGGGACATGATCCAAATTGGAGACTAAATGGACAGTTATAGTAGCTGTTTTGAGAACAACTTACAGAGAAGACTTCATGGCAGTGGGATGTACTTATATCCTCCTGGACGAAGGTGATGGTAGTATAGAAGAGATTGCTACAGATGGAGGTAGGAGCAGCAAGAAGTATCAGATTCAGGATTCTCCAGTAAAAGCAAACAATGTTTGATGGATTCTTCAAAAATGCATGCTATGAATTCTTGCCGCGCAGTGGCCACATGACATCTGCTCCTTATGATATAACAGATTAGGGTGCTTCTGTCAGATTACAGCATAAACTAAGCTGCCTAAATATGGGCAAAATTGAAGTGATGTCAAAGGAGCTAGAGCCACTCCATGGGTTGGGTGTGATAATGCTACTTGGGAACCTCATAACATTTCCAAGTATCTGTTGCTGGTGGTAACATGGAGGGGTGTGGTTTTTGTTTTCATTGTTTTTTTGCAGGGGAAACAATTCTCTATGAATCATTACACATAGCTCTACAATCTGGGGTTTTAAAATGTGCTGATGACTTGCATTAAAGCATGGTTGACTGGCAAACACATGTTGGGAGTTAAATATTAGGCATTACCCTTGGGAAATTTTCTTACGTTATGGCAAAACTCCTAAACTCCTTCCTTAACTCCCCTGGAGCTACTGTCCATGTTCTAGATTAGAGACCTTATCCTTTGTTTATATTTCAGAACCAAATCCACCCCTCCTCCCAGCAAATAGCGACTCTACACCTGGTTAACTTTTATAACTCAGTCCACAAGATAATAATAAATGACAAAATCATGTTCAATGTAATCATTTGGAGGATGCTTCTTTGCGGCATGTTGTGGGCTGAATTGTGCTGCTCCACCACCTTGAAATCATGTGTTGAATTCCTATCGCCTAGTAACCCAGAATGCGACTATATTGGAGAAAAGTCCTTTAAAGAGGCAATAAAAGTTAAAATGAGGTCATTAAGGTGAGGCCTGAATGCAGGCCTCATAAGAAGAGCTGCTTAATACACAGCCATACACAGAGGAAATATCATGTGAAGACACAGGGAGAGAGTCATTTATAAGCCGAGGAGAGAGAGCTCAGGGGAAAGCCACCCTGAGTCTTGAAATGTCTAGCCTGTAGAACTGGAAGCAAGCAAAGACCCACCTACACCTCCTAGCCTGTAGAACTGTAGGCAAAGACCCACTTACACCTCCTAGCCTGTGGAACTGTAGGCAAAGACCCACCTACACCTCCTAGCCTGTGGAACTGTAGGCAAAGACCCACCTGCACCTCCTAGCCTGTAGAACAGTAGGCAAAGACCCACTTATACCTCCTAGCCTGTAGAACTGTAGGCAAAGACCCACCTACACCTCCTAGCCTGTGGAACTTTGTTAGGACAGCCCCAGCAAGGCAACACAGGACATACAAGAACACTGTGCACACAATCAGCATTCTGTCATCTCTGCTGCTGGTCACTGAAGCCTAAAGACAGGACCAGTGACTGTGCACCTCATGCCTGGGGAGTACTTTGGAACTCTACAAACAAGGCAGAACCTCCCCAGGTTGTAGAGAGCAAGGTGATGCTTCACAATCGCCACCTTACTGATTTTCAAACCGAGCTGGAAGGTTCTGATAAACCCCTGTGATTAGAAGTCCCACTCGGGGTGGAACAGTACTGTACAAAGAGGTATGGATACCTATTCCAGTTCCATTTTGACACAGGTGTTTCCCTCCCATCTACTGAGTTTGCAGAACAATGATCACTTGTGGGATCACTGGTAGAAATGCTAGCTGGTATAAAACACAAAGTAGAAATCATCAAGTAAGTTCAGTCAGTGGAATGCATGTATTCATAAATTGGGGTATGGTAATTTTGCTTTTAAATAAGAATAAATACACTTATAAATATTACAAATTTTTTCCTGAGATATAGGAAGTCATAGTAATGGTGATAAATGAAATCTACATGGAAAAATTGAGCTTTACTTCAATGTGATGAGGAGAGAAAATAATGAATTGAAGAAAGATTAGAAGAGGGAATAATACTGATAACTACAAATCAGACATTTACAACATGAATCATCAACCTTTCTGAGTTCTCTAATTAGTTCTAATGGTTGGTTGAAGATTTTTCCTTTGGAATTTCTAAGTAGAAAATCAAGTAGACAATTGTATTGTTACCATATAAGTGCAGGTTCTTGCTTTCCTTTGAAAATATTAGACACTTTTTAAAATTTCTCTTTTTAAAAATCTTACTGCTCTCATTGGAAATTTTGAGTAATATTGGAAAAGAAGTGATGATAATGGGCAACCTACCCAGTTCTTGCTTAGAGAGTTTTAAAAATTTTTCATGAATGGTCATTGCGATATAGGATTAAAATTTTTGATTTCCCTTGTTCATAATTTCCTTCTGTGTAAAATACCATTCCTCAACTCATTCTCTTTTCTACCTAGTTTGGTTGTATGGACCAACACTCAAGCTTCTTTCAGATCCAAAGTTCTCTTTTTCTTTTGGCAAAGTATTTGTTGTTGTATTTGGGAAAGTACAGCATTTTTAACACTTGGTAATACTAATTCAATTTTTTGTGTGTAATATTTTAGCAATAGGCTCCAAGTACTTATGCTTGAGCTTACTGCATCTTGAAAAGTCCCTGAATACAATAAACTGCCTACCTTTACTTGTTGAGTGAAAGTAACAGGGAAATTGTGAGGCTTTGAGCATTTTTGAGGGGGAACAGTACTTGACATAATTAGGCAAGTGGGTGGTAGATTTTCAATTTCTTGGTGAGCAGGACTTTGAAGCTTGACCTTTTATTTTCTTTTTCATTTCTTTGTCTTTTGGATGTGAAAAATATAATTCTGGATTTTTCAGAATTGAAAGAGCAAAAGGAAGCTTATGCATTTTCCAATAATTAATAATGCTCCTCTGAGTTTCCTACTAAATTGTTTTAAGAGAGTCTCAATATGATCCTATTTCTGACAATAATAATGAAGGGGCAAGAAAAGCATTTGACTGCTTATGAGAGTAACTGCTCTTGTGACTAGGAGAATTATTTAGTGCAATGCATGGAAGAGTTTCTGTAAACTTCTGTGGCAGTTCCTGTGGAGCCTATGAACACAGTGCTGATAAGACCAGTGCCAGAACAACTTGGTGACAGCCAAGCAAAGGGTAGTGTATCCATGGCATTCAGGGTCATGATTGAGAGAAACTTGAGGAGGGACTTGCAATGCTACCCTTCGTCTTGGTGGAAGTATTATCGGGGTGCCTGACAACATGTGTGGATGCAGTTTTTAATACCATTTCTCTGTAACATGGAGAATAGTTTTTGCAGCTTCACCAATATGAAATATGAGCTTCTTGCTTTGATACATTATATGCCACTATAGTAAACACCATATGGGTTACCAAGATGATTTAGAAGTACAAAGTCATGTTTCCTATATAACCCTGGAAGTTGTATTTTTTTTTAGCCAAGAAAATTTTCCAGTAAATTTGTCAAAACTCAGAACTGTACTCTCTCAAATTAATTTTACTGTATGTAAATTATACCTCAATAAAAAATGGAAATGTGAATATATGAGAAAATATAAACATATCAATAAAATCATAACATGTATTTAGAGATGTCTTAAATTTTATTATCTCTTCTACCCTCATCTAAATCCCATAACTACCCTAACTGCCAAAGTCAATTACTTTTGTCAGGATAGTAACATTTTGTAGTAAAGTGGATACTGTCCCCTGCATTAAGGTTCTCCAGAGTGCTAATATCATGTGGACACAGATATATGACTAATATACTGATTTTTATTAAGATAACCACTTAGGTATTTCATTCTCAAAACTATTGAAACCCAGTTGTCTGATTTTATAGCAAATATTGTATAATGCTCAGTTTTATATCCTGAAAGAATTCAGTTATTTACCAATTTTAAATGTAGGCACAATATTCTAACATAAATATTGAGAATAAAGGAAAATCACTTAAAATATTGTGTTTTTATTTATGTGGATCCTTGGTTTACAACTATGGCAAAAAAAGAAAAAAACTAACCCAATACTCAGAAACTTGCTCCTGTTTGTATTATCAGTGTAACTGTAATAGCTATTCAAACAGATAAGGAGTGCTCCCTTAGTAAGGTATATACTACTACACATGTTATCCTTTTTTAAAAAATCTATTTCTTTTCAGTTTATTTGAAAGGCAGAGAGACACAGAGAGGTCTTCCATCTGCTGGTTCACTCCCAAATGACCACAACAGCTTAGGCTGAAGCAGGAAGCCATGAATTTCCACCATGCCATGTGGGTGGCATGGATCTAAATATGTGAGCTATCACCTGCTGCCTCCCAGAGTGTGCAATAGCAAGAAACTGGAATTGAGAATACAGCTGGGGCTCAAACCCAGACACTGACACAGGCTGCAGGTTTCTGCACTGTCTTAACTGTTGCACCAAATGGCTGTCACACAGTGTTGCCCTTAAACATATGAACAAACTTTGGCTGATTTCTGAGAAACCAACATTAAAACATCTCACTATTTATATTCCTATAAAATTCAATATTTATTAAAACCACACAAAAATGATTGTTGCTTATATATAAAATGGAGTAATATAGCCTTAATACTAGTGGATTTATGGTTCTTAACAACTATAGATGACAGGTGGGAACCCCAAAGTCAGGGAGGAAGCAGGCAATTCCTCAGGCGGAGTCGTTCCAAGTGCCCAGCATTTGTGCTTTGTGACCACTAAATGCTAGCAACAAACAGAAAATCCCTCTTACACATTTCTAAAATACCTCCCAGGAAGGCAATAAATCTTTCATTAAGAACCACTGACCTTAATGTTTGGTTTAAAACTGTAATTTTGCTTATGAAATTTTTATACTACAACAACTCTCCCTTAAAATTTATCTAGAAGGTCTGCATGAACTTCAGAACTCCTTTCTATTCCTTGGATCTCATTTTATGCACTTATTTTTACCTATTTCTCTCTGTAGACCTCAGGCCACCCAATATGCACAGTTTTCATGCACTAGAAGCCCATTAAATCTATAAGCATTGCATAAATTAAAGTTAATTTCTCCTTGCTGCCAATGTCTATGATAAAAATTTTGTGCCTAGCTTCACATTCCACAATTTGATATCTATATTAAATTATACATGTATATGCAACTGTATATGAAACTCTTCAATGCCCATTGACTTAGAATTCTGATCTACAGTCCAACAGATCATTAAGAGCTTCCCCCCACCCCCCAGCCTATACCTGCAGGGTCCTTCATTTGACTGATCCAGGTCCTCTATCCAGCATATCTCTGACTTTATTGTACTTCCAAGAATCTCAGCTGTTACCATGGGTAGCTTCTCCAGGCTCAGCTTGAGGACTTCAGATCCTAGATCCTCACTCTGCTGCCTATGGCCTGGCATAAAACACAAAATCCCTTGAGGAGAGAAATGAGACAAAATGAGAAGAAAAGGAATTTAACAACAACAACAAAAAAACTATTAATCCTTAAAGCATGCAGACCATGGAAAGAAATATGGATATTGGGTGTCATAGGCTTGTGGGGCTACCTCTTTGGTGTGCTTTCTTTTCTTTTCCCATCCAATAACCTCAATCTATAGTTAAACTCTGTGAAGCCCAGGAATTTTTTTCTTCTTTTCTATTGTTTCTTATTGATTCTCCAAATTTAGCCCAGTGCTGAACAACAATAGAAGTTCAAAAAACATTGCTGAATGAATGAGTGAATTGTACTAGCAGCAAAACTCAGTACCTGGGCTGGTTTGTGGTGCAGTGTATTAAGCCGCTACCTGCAACACCAGATCCCATATCAGAGTGCTGTTCCAAGTCCTGGCTGCTCCACTTCCAATCCAGCTCCCTGCTAAGGTGCCTGTGAAAGCAGCAGAAGATGGCCCAAGTGCTTGGGTTTCTGACATCCACATGGGAGACCAGGATGGAGTTTGTGGCTCATGGCTTCAGCCTGGCTTCAGCTCTGGCCTTGCAGTCATCTGAGGGAGTGAACCAGTAGATGGAAGATCTCTCTGTCTCTGTCTCTTCCTCTCTCTCTTTCACTATGATTTCAAATAAATAAGTCTTAAAAAACAAAACAAAACTCAGTACCAAAAGGCAGTTTGCATGAAGTTGTAAAGTTAAGAATTGAATAGAAAAATGACCCAGACAATGACCTTAATTAAAATGGTTAATTCAAATTAGATAACTTCTTTGCAAAACTTCAATAACAAAGTAGCACTTCCAAGTAACAAATACATCTTTTTTTCTTTTTAAGATTTATTTATTTATTTGAAAGGCAGAGTTACAGAGAGGCGAGGTGGGGGAAGAGAGAGAGAGAGAGGTGCCTTCCACCTGCTGGTTCACTCCCCAGGTAGCTACAATGGCTGGAGCTGTGCCAATCTGAAGCCAGGAGCCAGAAGCTTCTTTCAGGTCTCCCACACGGGTGCAGAGGCCCAAGCACTTGAGTCATCTTCTGCTTTTCCAGGCCATAGTAGAGAGCTGGATCGGAAGCGGAGCAGCCAGGACTTGAACTGGCGCCCATATGGGATGCTGGTGCTGCAGGCGGAGGATTAACCTACTGCACCATGGCACCAGCCTCAACAAATTCATCTTTTATGAACAACAGCAAACTGTTCATTAGTGTCCCAAACATACATACATAGTTGTGATGATCCTGTTTGGTTCTAAAATTTAAACTGTGGGGTCACTGCTGTGGTGCTGCAGCCTAAACCACCATCTGCACTTCGAGCATCCCATATGGGCACCAGCTCTATTCTGCCAGCTTCACTTCTGATCCAGCTCCCTGTTAATGTGCTTGGGAGAGCAGCAGAGGGTGGCCATTCTCTCTCTGTAACTCTGTCTTTCAAATTAATAAATAACATACTGGGGCGGGGGAGAGGGGGAGAGGGAGAGGGAGAGGGAGAGGGAGAGGGAGAGGGAGAGGGAGAGGGAGAGGGAGAGGGACAGGGAGAGGGACAGGGAGAGGGACAGGGAGAGGGACAGGGAGAGGGAGAGGGAGATCCATCTTCCATCTGCTGGCTCATTCCCCAAATGGCCTGGAGCTGAGCTAATCTGAAGCTAGGAGCCAGGAACTTCTTCTGGGTCTCCCACATGAGTGCAGGGGCCTAACCACTTGGGCCATCTTCTACTGCTTTCCCAGGCCATTAACAGGGAGCTGGATCAGATGAGGAGCAGCTGGGACATGAACTTGTGCCCATATGGGATGCTCGCCCTGCAGGTGGAGGCTTAGCCTCCTATGCCACCAGAGCCTGCCTCTAAAAAAAGAATCTTTGAAAAAAAATTTTCCTTTATTTGAACCTCAATGTCAGGATACAATACTATGTTTAAATAGCTATAACTCAAATAAGTATTTAAGTGTCCTCAAAAGGAAATATTTTGAACTATTAGATTCATTAATTTATAAAAATATTTTGAACTGCTACATTTTAGTCCTAAAATTCAAGTTAAACTTCCATATAAAAATACATTTGCTTCAAATTCTGAAAAGTGATTTGTAAAATCAAGAAAAATAGCACTTATTTTTAGATGTGATTTTTATATCACCTAACTGCACAAATAGAAGAAACAGAATAATGGTGTTTTATTTAAGATTATTAGAATGATTAGAAAATAATAAACTAATGACTTTCTGGTTTCCCAGTGAATATGTGAATTGAGAAAACTCCTTTTTACAGGAACTATCTGAAGCAGAAGGCAAAAGATGGCAGCAGTGAGTCATTCCAAGATCTAACATCACACATGGCCATTTTGCTTTATTTTTTCATATCATCTAATTTTGAATTTAATAATATCTTAAGTTAAAAATTATCCTAGAAGGATAGAAATCATAAATGTTTCAATGAATTGAGGCCCAGAGCAAATTAAAACAAAGCAGTCCATGGCGTGACTTGCCCACCTCTCAAAGAGCTCCCCCTCAACTTCAAAGTCTGTAGGGACCGCCTAATGGCCACCCCCAGTATGCACAATTAGTGAGCAAGGTGTGCCAGTGATCCTACCAAATTGAGAAAAAACTTTATATAGGCAGGAGAGACACATTTATTCTTCAAACCCTATCTATGCACCAATTCAATTTTAATCCAAAGACCTACTGATCTCCCTCTCTTCCCCTCTCCCTCCTCCCTCCTCCCTCTCACTTTGAGTCAAAAGATGCAAAAAGAAAAACAACAGGACTGGGAAAGGCTAGGGTAAGAAAAAGGAGCATTTAAAAATCTAATGTGGCCTAATGGATACACTGCCACTAATTTGTCTTGAACCAACTATTCAGAGTAATTGAATTGACTTTCCAAGAAATAAAATAGAACATACATTTCAACATGTGCTGAACATTGGTCCTGCCTGTCTTCCCTCCAAAGAATCAAGGTTTTCTAATACCAATCTGGCTTTCAGACTTGGAGTGAGGCTGCAGAACCACCTTTACAGGGGAAAACCAAGCCTGTGGCTGCAAGTCTAACTCTGAGACAGGAGGGTGAAACTGAACAACTGCACTACTATAATAGTCCTTGCTCACCCTGCTGTTCCTTCCACTAATTTCTACCTATTTAACCGGTCTAAAGCTTCCCCCTCTCCTCTTACTTTAACTTATATCTTATCCTACTCCAAAGGATAGTGGAGAATAGCACCGAATAAATATTCAGGTCATTTAACTTTGTTGGATAATCTCTTCCAACACACAATAAAAGCGCATTGTGACTGAGAATCATAAGCTCCAAATCCCAGCTATTACAATTTTCTGTATTCTGCCCTGCTTGTCTCTGTCATAGAAACATGCTCGGGGGAGGGCTGTAGTGGAGAAGCTGGCGGCTCACAGTGTGGAGGCCTCTGGGGTCAGGGATGCTGAACTGTGCTGAGAGGAGGCACCTTGGTCCTAGCCCCTGGCCCACCTGTGCTGGGCCTTGCCATGTCTCAGGAGTGCATCGAGGGACACAGGCTTCTTGGCACATGGTGTGGGTCTGGTTTCCCAACAAGAATTTCACAGCAAGAATCGCACATGGAAGTCTCCATGGACTCAATGAGCTGTCAAACCATGAGGCCCTATGGAAAATCAATCTGAAAACGAAGAAAGCAACGCGGGGTGTGCAGGGAGACAGTGGGGGCAGGGGAAGCAGCAGGTCAGTAATTCCACTGTAGCGTGGAAAATGGGGAGGAGGAGGAGGAGGAGGCAGCAGAGGTGTAGAAGACTGGAAAACAGGAAAAGGTGGCAAGGAGGAGAGGGGGGAAGAGGAAAAGGCGAACTCATCGCTGCCACCTGCGCTTCAAGCTCCACACTGGTCAAGGGTCCTTTGGGCTGGAAGTTCACAGAATTCTAGACTCACAACCGGAGTCACTTTGTTTAAGGACGTCTCAGGACCCGCGACAACACGTGGCCCCAGAACACTGGAGGCGATGGGACCGGGCAGGTGCCGGGACCCCCTCTCTGACCCATGCCATGGCTTCTGGCTCTAGAACCCCACGACCTGCCCGGAGACCAGGGCCACCTCCAGCAGGCGCGTCCAGCCCGCTCCTCCCCGGCCCCTAGGCACACGAGACCCCCGCACCCCTTCCCCTTTGTCTGCAGGCCGGCATCTGCCCCATCAGAATCAATGCCAGTATCTGGCACCTGCAGAACCGGGGTTCTAGCCCTTCTCCGGGTCCCCTGCATCCCCCCGGCTCGCGCCCAGGGCGTGCGTTCCCAAGGATGCGCGGCCCTCTCCCAGCCCGCGGCCTCCTCCCCTCTCTCCTGCGGCTGCCGCTGCCGCTGCTGCCGCGAAAACCAGAAGTGGAGCGCGCGCGGCAAAGCGCCGCGCTCTCGCGGCGGCACTGGGCATGCTCGGCACCCAGGGCAGGTTTCGGCGGCGGGGCGGACGCTTCTACACTAGCCGGGCGCCCGAGCCGGCCGCGGAGGCATAGGTGGAGGCTGAGGCTGCTGCGCGCCGCGGGAGGAGCCTCGCCCTCGGCGGCGGCGGCGGCGGCGGCGGCACAGGTGGCGCGGGCCGCGCGCGGGGCGCAGCACGGGAGCGCTCGGCGCCGGGCGCCGCGGCGGCCCCAGGCTCGCGCCCGCGGCGGTAGCCGGCCGATCAGAGCGGCGGGCGCGGCGGCGGCGGCGGCTGCTCCTCTACCAGCCCGGCCGGCCCTCCGCGGCAGCGGCGCCCGGAGCCCAGAGGCGCCCCGAGGAGCGCGGGGGAGCCCGCGGAGTCGGGCAGGGGGCGCTGCGCTCGCCGCGCTCGGAGGGGCCGCCGGGCCGGGCGCTGCGCACTCGCGTCGGGAGCCGCCTCTCGCCCGCGGCGCTCGCCCCTGCTCCCCGCCAGCATCGCCTGTCCCGCGGCCGCGCTCAGACAACAAAAGCGGAAGATGCCGCAGTTGGGCAAGGTCAGGACCTTGCCCTGAAGCCGGGCGGCGGCGCGCACGCCTTTCCCCGGACGGGAGGAGCTGTCGCCGGTGGCGGGTGCATGTTCGCCAGGAAGCAGCCGGGCGCCGCGCCGTTCGGTGAGTTGCCTTCTCCGGGCTGCCGGGGCCGGCGCATCTTGCGCCTCGGCGTCTTCCTCCTCCTCCTCGCCGCCCGTGGGGGTTGGCCCTGGGCTCCCGGCCGGCTGGCGGCGGCGGCGGTGGCTGCTGCGCGGTGCTGCCGGCCGCGGGCGCGCCCGGTCCCCTGTCGGCCGACGGCTCTGCCCGGCGCGGGGTCCAGGGCAGGTGCGGTTCTCGGAACGGTTACCGAGTGGCTGTTGTGCGTGCGCCGCCTCCCTGCCACCCATCCGCCCCGAAGGAGGCGTATATAGGGCAACCCGACCATCCTGCTCCCCGCCACCCTCCAGAACATACCCGTGGCATTCATGACGTCCCTAATATACGAGAGAAGACGGGTGGGGGTGGGGAGGACCTCCCTCGCGTCTCCTGCCCTTATGCTCAATGTCATTACGATGTTTGGCTAGAACAAAATGGAAAGACTTGGTCCTACGCGTCCATGGCCGAGTCTTGCGCCTGCCGCCGCCCGCCAGACCGCGAGTCCCTTTTGGTCTATATTTAGCGGCTTCGGGGGAAGCCTTTGCAGCTCGATTCACAGGTTTCGGGAGCTCGCGCGTCCTGACAATAGATCGTGAGGCTCTGGAGAGCGGCGCGCGAGACCCAGGTTTGGGGAAGCTGCGCGCGAGCCTGGGCGGTGCGCGATGCGAGATCTGGGCGATCCGTAATCAATGGCTGAACGCGGCGCTGCTGGGTTTGCTCCCCGACCTTCCTCCTCCTCTGGGGTGCGATGGGTTTCCTGGGCTTGCTCCTCGGCAGCTTTCAGCCACCGCGTTCAGAACCAAGTCTAGACACGGGGGGTGCAGCCTCTCTGGTCTGCGTGGTGGGGAAACAGACTTGGGAATTTTTAGGGTGTGTGTGTGTCTGTGCGTGTGTGTGTGTGTGTGTCGTTCCCACAAAGAACAGTTACTTCCCTAATGCCCAAAGTTGTGTTTCGCTGCAAGTGTGGGGGTGGCGAGGGGTGTGGAAGCCGAGAGAGGAGCAGGTTGCGGGTTCCCTGCCTGGAAAAGGTGCCTCCTTTTGAACTGATGGGATTTGCTGTGGCTCTGAGAGGGGTTGTTCACGTGCATGTCTGATGTTCTGGAGCAGCTAGGTTGGCTCTGAACAGAGATTTGTTTGAAGCATAGAATTGGGCCTGGCTGGCATAGATTTTCACTTTGTGGAACTATGGGACCAATATTTAATATGCTGGGAGTTTTCTGTAACGATTTCCCTGAAAATGAGGAGGTGCCGGAACTACCCGGGAGTTATCTCATTGTGCGCCTTCCATCATCGGTAGCTTAGGTTAGTGGTGGTAGGTCAGTTAATCTCTGCTGTTAGTCATTCGCCTACATAATTGAAAGGCTTCAGAGCATGCCACTTCTAAAATCCCATGGAGAAGTGTTTGATAGGAATTAGAGGGATGAAGCTGTGCATGATTGGGGAGCTTTGCTATAGAAGTATGGCAAATAAGGGAGAGTGTCTTCATATCTGGATTGATTGCTTTGAACTGTGCTGAAATCTCTCGTTAACGTATCTTTGCCATATGCAGAATCCATTGCTAATGTTGTTGGAAGACCTGTTAGGTGATATCCATAGTGGTCTGTGGATTATGAGATGTCAGGGCTTGAATGAATATGATTGCATTCAGAATTTGCTGCTGAAATTTGGGAGGCCCTATCATGATAGCAAAAACAAGTTAGTGCTGCAGAATGATCAGCCAGGTCTCAAGTGGCTCAAGTTAACAGAACACTGGTTAGTTTCACCAATATTGCATTTGTTTCAACTTTATCACATTCAGAGAACTTTCCTAGAGCACTTCAGACATTGTTGT